CCCCTGGGTGTTGGTTCTGGGGGAAAAATTTCCCTCCCTTTGGGGGGGGGGGTGTTAAAGGTTTTATAGTTTTGGGGCGGCAAAAAAGGGGGACCCCCCCCCCCCCCCCCCCCCCCCTCCCTCCCTCCCCGTCGGCGAGAAGGTATGATCGAAGCAGGCAAGCTTCGTCGAAGCCGCCCCGTCCTCATGTCAGCTTCTGAAATCGCCAAGAACGAAGAAGATACTCCAAGAGGCGACGACCTGCCCTCGGGCTGCACTATCCTTAACCGCAACCCTGCCCTCGCTCTCGCGAGCTCCGACTTCGTCAAGCCTCACCACAAGTCGGCCGAGGCGTCCGATCTTGACGCTGCCAAGGCAAGCGACGGCAAGGGTAATAGTCTGCTTGAAGCCGCGCGGCGTGCCGTCGGAGAGGTCGGTGGCAGTGCGTCAAAGGGAACCACGCCGTCGTCGTCCGTAGCGGATGACAGTGCCGGAGCAGCTGGCCAATCAGAGACCTCGACGATACCGCCAACTTCTGCCCTAAACGGCCGGCCAACCCGTGACGAGAGCCCACCACCCAGATCGGGGTCAAAGTCGAACGCGCTAGAGATGGCATGGTCCTCCGCCGAAGCTTTCCTGAGATCGATCGCTTCTGGCGGCGGACCGGGCGAGAAGAAGACGGAACGGTCCGGTCGAAAAGAGAGTCGCGTGGATACCGCGAAGGTGGCTGGCACCCAGCCGGAAGCGCCCGGAATGGCACCCGTACCGTTTGGAAGAGCAGGAGAGCCATCATCACCGGGGCGACCGCAGCACCGACAAGCGGGGGAGGGTGCTGCGCCGAAGGCGTCGCCGCTGCGGTACAACCCCGGGCCGACGTTCAGAAAATCTCGAGGGCGGCGGAGGAAGGCTCTGCTGGATCCGTCGGGGATAACGGCCGAGGAGGTCGTTGGAGCCGACGAGCTGCTCGCGCTTCTGGGAGACTCTTCTCTTCAGCAGGTGTATGTGTGTGTGTGTGTGTGTTTTATTTCTTATTTTTCTTACAAAACACACAAGAAATTCATCTCTTCCACAGATGAAAAGAGATTCGTGTTTTGCCCTTCTTCGTGTGCCAGCTGGGTCTGTCGTGTGTTGCTTGGGAACTCTCGGCGGCGCGGGATGTCTGTCGTTTTGGGGGGCACCTTGAAGAGGCGTGCTCGGTTTGGGCATGGTATGCACTGCTAAAGCCTGTAGAGCGCGTGGGCTGTAGTTGGGTGGCTTGCTTGCTGTGTTGTTTTGGTTCCTTCGCGCGAAGGGTCGGGCCGTGGCGGAGCGCTCACACGGAATCGAAAGTGACCTCTATTAAACTCTCGATATTTGTCGACCCTCGAATCGAAGAGCAATCCGAAACACTCTCTGCGGAAGATACACTTTTTTTTATTCTTTTTTACGTTTTGACCCCGTTGTTGATGCATGTCCGATGACCGCGTTTGTCGCTGATTCGCAGGCATCCCTCAAGAACTATCTTAGAGCGGTTCTCGCGATCCAGCACGGATGCGTCCGAGGATCCATCCCAGTCTGGCGGCCGGACGGCGGGAAGAAGGCAGCCAAGGGTGCTGCTTCCACCTCGGGCAAGGCCGCGTTGAGAGGGGGATTGGCGGAGTCAGAGGCAACCGGACGCGCAGCGCTTTCGACGTGAGTGTGTGTACCACCTGCCTTTTTTTTTTAGCAGCGCCTCGGTGCAAAGAAACTATATGCTGAGTAAAAGAGGACTGTTAATATGCAAAGGAGTTAAATCCTGTGTAAAACGACGACTACATAAGTGGTACCACGCAGGGTCACGCCTGTTGACACTTCCGAGTCCCCCTCTTGTCTTGGTATGAAAATGGGTTTCGGGAGTGGCTAGTAATGTTTTTGGGGAGGATTTTTTGCTTGACAGTGGACGATGGCCACTTGGTTTCCCCACCCGCTTGTCTGTTCCTCCAGTTGTTCCGCGCAGGACTTGACGAACTACATCGTCACGCTCCTTGATGCGAGGAACAAAGGGGGCGCGTGAAGTGCAGCTTGTATGTCGTCCGAGTTCCCTTTTCCGCTTCACGTGGAGGACTTGAGGACCGAGGCATCTTCTGTGATGATGACGACGAGCAGACGGAGTATGTTCCAGATATCTACTACTACAATGGTGACCTTGCCAGACACAGCAGTGTTGCGGGCCTTATTTGGCGAATTAGAATTGTGGCGATCAATGAATGCGGCCAAGTGGCCCGTGCTTCTAACGTGTTGTTTGTGTTCCCCAGTGCCATTTTGGCGGGAAAAGCGTAGATCCCATTTATTATGTATTACGTTCAAGCCCTGCTGTATCTGTCTTCCGTTCCCTTTGATTCATAACGGTAGAGGGCAGCTGAGGCGGAGAAGAAAAGCTCAAGAGCGTGCGTGGGGTGCAGTCGGGTTGTGCAACGAATATCGTGAAAATATGCAGTACGGCGGGTAGTTTCGTGCCCCAGGTGTGGTCGGAGCCTGTAGCGGCGTGATAGGTGGGTGTTCTCGAGTAGATCATAACTACACCGTGTCGTGTTACTTCTTGTCAGATGTGCGAGAGTTGTTTTTGCCGCAAGCAAGAGCTCAAACCTTGAGCTAAACGGTGCTTTGCACGTCTTGTACGCGCAATGGAGTTGATGTGTGGCGTCACAATTTTGTACCAAGTAGGGGGTGAGCGTTTGTAACAAAGTAACAAAAGTGAATGTACGTACTTACAGTAGGATAGGATTGTCGAACCGCGAGCTTCGGTGCTTGACTGTTGTGTGTAACGGCAGTGTAGTGTACCGTTTCGTGTTGGACTTGAGTGTACTTTTCGTCTTTGTGTCGTATCTTCGGTTCGGGTTCGTTTTCATGGACGAAGCGGCAGTGAAAGTAACTCATATCTTCAGGCGTCCCCTTTCTTTAGTTCCTAGGCTAGATAGTTCCTTAGGTTAGTTAGATAACGTAGTTGAGTTGAGGGAAGGAACGGCATTCAGCGAAACCAACCAGCAAAATCGATGTGGATAGGCGGGGGAGGTCCTGATTTGACCCCGGAGATTTCGCACCTCAAAGCGGCGCAAGACTTTTTTGTGCTCTGTCAGTGGTTTTCTTTTGTTCCCGCTTCCCAGGCAACCATCCACGTGCTGGTAAACTGCATCACAGCAGCAGTTTCCGTAGCGCCGGTGGACAGCTACTGTACCACTTACGCGGAACCAATATCGCGCCATTGATTTTGCATTTACCGGTGACACATGACATCATTTACTTGTCGATCTGAACATTGCGTCGTTGGTAGCCCACAACCGAATACACGCCATCTATTGTTTGGGCTGCACCGCATCATGGCCGCCTCTTTGCAGAATCCTTAGCTTTCTCATCCTTGTTCCACCCACTTCCTTTGTGGACACGCAGACTCCGGAAGCACACAACCTTGAAGGTCGAGAAACTGTCAACACCAACTTGGAAGGGCCTGGTAGGCTTTGTATTCCTCTAATGCTAGCTTCTCACGCAGGGTGCAAACTCACAATCTTAAAAAAAGATCCCCAAAACAACCGTCTACATTTTATTTGTGCTCGGACTCAACGCGTATGGCGTCCACAAGTCCGAGCGCCCTTCGTCTCAAAATCGAATCGTCACAACGATCAAACGCCGTGGCGAACCACTCCAAGTGCTCCAGCGTCAGCGTCAAATGCTTTGGCCCGCGCGCCCCCGGATGATAATACCTAACGCCTTCAGTGCCAACATTCAGCCGCCGGTCTCGCCGTAGCAGCTCCACCAATGAGATGGCCTCCTCCCACTCTCCAGCCCTCACGCAAGCGTCTATAGCGGCGCTGTAACTGACAACGTCTGCCATCGGCACTGGTGCCATGTCTCCATCAGTCTTGGCTTGTCCTGCGAGCATCTCGCGCAGCACTGACACGGCCCGCGCCCACTCCTTCCCTTTGCCGCAGGCAGCGATTACGGCGTTGTAGGTGATCGTCCCGCGAGGCACTCCCGCCGAGGACATCTTGTCCAATAGCGAGAGCGCGGCTCTCCACTGGCCGGCCCTACCGCAGGCGTCAATCGCAGCGTTGAAGCTCACCTACAAGAAGTGGCGTATCGCGGCGAAGCATCGTGGACCAAAACGCACAAGAACGATATGAAAGGCTGCTCCCGAATATGGTCCCTTTCCGAAAAGAAAACCATGTTCATGGTAGTGTAGATGCTGCCGCCTCTTCGCTGCTACCAACCAACTGAACAGCAGAAGTCGGTACACCCTTGTAATACTAAGTCAACTTTCCGTGTCTGTGTGTGGGGGTCATCACTGCAAGTGACCAGGTATTCGATGACAAATGAGAACATCTACCAAGGAGATGCATCAAAAGCGCCCCTGTAAGCAAACAAAAAAACGATAAAACTATCGCCCGTGGGTGAACCACTTCTGCATGTTCGAACAGACTTTTTTCTGGGAATTTGATTCCGAAATATGCGTCGGCCCTCAGCCCAAGAAACCGAACGACCTCTCTTGCTTGGTTCTCGCTGCAATTTTTCAAGCCGTACGATTTCAAAAAGAGCGCAACAAACAAACTCCCCGATCGTAAATCCCCATTTTTCGACAACAGGCAGGGCGAAAAGAAAAACAACATATTCATACGTTACCGGTCCTTGTGTCGTGTTGTTGATTCTGCAGTCACAAGAGAGGGGGTGTTTCAGGATTCAATTCGATATTGGTCGATCGAAAGGCATAACCGTTTATGGCGAGAAATCGTTCTTGGCGAGACATACAAACACGCCCACACAACGTTGCCCTTGCAGCACGACCTTAGGGAGTCAAGACTCGATCAAGCCAATCAATCGTACCTCGTTGGGGGAAACTCCAACCTCCTCCATCTCTCGCAACAGAGCCACCGCGCGTCCCCACTGCTGTCCCTTGCCGCACGCCGATATCGCCGTGCTAAAGCTTCTGACGGTTGGCGGAATTCCTTCGTCCCTCATCTCGTCTAGGAGAGCCAGCGCCATTTCCCACGCCCCTCCCTGAGCGCAGGCGTCTATCGCAGCCGTGAAACTCACTTCGTCACCCCTTATGCCCCGTGAACGCATCTGGCGAGTTTCAGAGGATCATAAAATAAAAGTCAGCGGAAGGGTCAGGTCCTCTCAACACATACAGCAGTGTAGCGGGTCCGATTCTTTTCGGCGGCACAACCGCTCGACAGCAGTGAGGGTGGGTCTCGTTACCGGAATTATCAGAAAATCGAAATTGCTACCACTGGTTCGGACAGCTTGCCTGTTGGGGCCACGACGAAAGCAAAGCGTGTCACACAGCAACGAGATCATTGTGCTACGCATACCAGTTGTAGAAAACCCCATATTGCTCTGGTTGAATTTCCATAGTGCAGAGGGGTGGCTCGTCTTTTTCGCAAGGCAGTACCCCACGTTCACACATGGTGCCCACACACTAAATAAAACAAATTCGTTTTCGACACGCGCCTGCACTTTAGGTGAGACTGGGGCACTAATTCGGTACCCAGGAAACGACGTTCAGAGCCGATATGCCGACAAGATCGAGTGCGCAACTCGGGTGCGTATTTACCACGAGCATCATGATCTTAGCCGCGCTGCACACCTGGGACCATGGATCACGGACAAACACCATACTGCCCCGAAAAAGGGAACTCTCGAGTGCCTTATCTACAACTGGCAGGGTGGGTCCTGAACGTGGGAGTGTACTCCTGGAATTTTGTAGCAAATCACCCTAATAGAGAACGCTAAAAGGGCCTACTGACTTGCCCGTGTCGGGTGTAGAGCAAGACACAGGCGGCCGTGAGACAGCCATCTCTCTCATCTCCCCCACCTGCTCGTGTACCGCCAGGGCTCTCGCCCACCGGTTGTTGTCTCCGCAGGCCGTCACCGCCGCGGTGTAGCTCCACATGTTTGGCTGCACGCCCATCGATGGCATGTCTCTCAAGAGATTCAACGCCTCCTGCCACTGCCCACCGTTACCGAGCGCCGATATCGCCGAGTTGAACGTTATCACGTTCGGCGCCACGCCCTTCTCCCGCATCTCAGCCAGCAACCCCTGGGCCAACCGCCACTCTCCCGCCTTTCCGCACGCATCGATAGCCGCCGTGTAGGTCTGGACGTTCGGAGGGCAATTTGCTGCCCTCATTCGTCTCAAGATGGTGAGCGCTGGCCGCCACTGCCCCGCTTTCCCACACGCAGAGACGGCCGCGCTGAAGGTGAACTCATTCGGCGGGACCCCCTCCTCCGCCATCTAGGAGGGTTGGTCGGTTCCGATGGTTGGGATAAGGGGGGGGGAGCTTGTTCCATGAGCCTCGAGACACTGACGTGAGCGAAGCAATCGAGGGCCTGAACTAGTCAAACACCCGGCCGTATGCATCAAACATAAAACAATGAAAAAATATCCCTGAGAACAACCAAGTGGCATGGCTCTCGCACTTTCGCCTCAGCAACAGTACGAATCCGGCGCTTTGGGGGCGCAAAGGTTGTCAATATACGAATGCCTGAAGGGCTCGGCCATGGAAACGTTGAAAAACCCTGAGCACAGCCTAGTCGGTTGCCCCTCGTACTTTCACCTCCGCAACAATACGAATCCGCGGCGCCGTGGGGACGCAAGCCGTCAACATACGAATGCCAAAAGGAAGGACCCCCCGGTTAACGCGAAAGTATCCTTACCTGGTCCAGTAGGCCCAGAGCCCGTTCCCACTGCCCAGCGTTCCCGCATGCAGCCACCGCCGAACTGAACGTGGTAACGTTGGGGCTTAACCCTACCGCCGCCATTTCCCCGAGGAGGCGGAGCGCTCGCTCCCATTGGCCTGCCCGCGCGCAGGCATCCGCGGCGGTGTTGAAACAGACCACGTTCGGCGACAGGCCCTCTGAACGCATCTAACGAGAGAGAGGGCGAAGAGGGGAAGAGGGGCCGACCTAGGTCTGCGTGAGTGTCCGTTCTTCAAAAACTCATCAAGCTGAAAATGGAGTTTTGCTATACCCTGTGTGGTACGTGGAGGTTTTGAGCATGAACCAGCCGAATGTCCGACCGACATCCGTGTGCAGCGAGGAAACCAAACAGGACACAACTGCAGGGCAATTCAGCTGGCTTTCGTCGTCCATATCGGCAAGCCTCGCTATCGCAACTGAACTGCGTGGCCGTGGGTACAACGCCCCGGACACTGCCCCAAACTTACCTGATCCAGAAGCGCCACCGCTCGCTCCCACTGCCCGCCCTTCGCGCAGGCATTAACAGCCGCGCCGAATGCGAAATGATCCGGTGCTACGCCTTCCGATCGCATCACATCCAACAAAACAAGGACTTCCTCCCACCGGCCGCTCCGCGCCACAGCACTGTGCACCATTGGGGGTAGAAACGAAGCGTTACAAGATGCCAGAACGGCTGTTTCGTGCTCTCGGTCTACATGGGGCTACACAATCATGACCAATTTCAACGTTGCCATCGCGTTTTTGACCCCAGTCCAAACGCTACGCAATCTTCTCGACGCTGGTTAGGTCTCGTGTCTCAGTTAGTACGCTTGATACCTCCCTCGGGACTGACACGTTAAGTCAGTGACGGCCATGATCTCAAAGTAACGCAACCCTACCTTTTGTGGGTCTTTTGTGGGTCTTTTGGCAGTAGCACCTCAAGAGACACACGGTACACGCTTCTTTCCGCACCGTACTATTCACTGGTAGCTTACGACGAGCCTTTTGTATGTAGCCCTAAGCTTGAACGCCGGAGGCGCCGCACAAAACACGCAACCCTCCACAAGACCTTCACAAGGACAAGACAAATATAATCCAGTCGAACGACCGTGCAAGCCGTACATGTACTGCTGTAGGCAGGTCAGGCTACCTGTATGCATCTTCCGCGCACGCAGGAAAAAAATCTCGGCAACAATACTGACCTCATCAGCACGGAGTACGTGTAGACGTCGAAGACCACGCCGTCCTCTCTCGCAAGGTTGGCGGCGGTGAGAGCCTCCTTCCATTGTCCTTTCCTTCCTTGCGACTGGTCGACGAGGAACGCCCCCAACCCAACAGAAAACCACAAGTCGTGGAAGCATCGCACAAGCAGCAACATTAGAAATGAGCACTATCGGGCAACAGTGGCAAGATCCGCCAGCAACTGCTGGGTATCATGCCCTGCATCAGATTGACACAAAAGACGGCAGTGATTTCGCGAGCAGTACGGTAGTACGGGGGCTAGCAATGCTCTCACGGGGCCGACCGTGCATCCTCTGCCCACACACCGTAAGAATCCATCTCGAGGTGGCTATTCGAGAAGAATTTTAAACCGGTGTGCCCCTGAATGTCGGAGGACACACATAGAGTTGGGTTGGAGCACTTGAGCTCCAGGACCGTTCACCAAACGCGTTCTCACTCGTCGAGCTGCGGCAGTAGTTGCCGTAGCGTATACCACGAAAAAAGTGCAACACCAACAAAGCAGCTGTTTGGTTTCTTTTCTGTACCTTTTCTTTCGTCTTGACTCGACCTGCCCGTAAGAGAGCAAGCGAACGCAAAGAGAGCTTGCTTGTAAGCCTCCAACCAGAAGCCACAACGTTGAGCAACTCGACTTCTACACACTGCCTTTGAAGCTGTACACTGGTGCGCCCCCACCACTGGAGAACACTAAATAGCAGTCCTGTCCCTCCTGCTGTGCAGATTTCCACAGCTTTCCGATTTGGGGTGCTTGCTCATTGGGCATCAGCAATCAGCAATATGTGCTAATAAGTAAACCTGGTGCAATTTGGAAACTATGCTGGATCAGTACGCTAACGTACTGGCATACATACGTAACGTGTTCGACACCTCTAAACAATTGGTTTTGGACACGCGGTACATGAAGTACAAAACACACCTCACGGTGGATGTTCTTTCGTACTGCCTGTACGAATGTAGAGGCAAACCTCCTACGCTGTTGCCACCGCAGTACAAAAAGATACCCTTTGGGACTTCATTACTACTTTGAGCGTCGCTACGTCTCTACAGCAGCAGTACCACATCTGAGGGTTGACACGTGAGAACACATGTGAACCCACCTTGAGCGTTTGGATGAGCTTGCTCCGCCGTCGATTACGTTGACGTATTTGCACAACCAGCGGCATGTTGGAGCAGGCTTCTCCCTTCCTAACGTCTTTCTCCCCGTGGATGGCCGCGACAGACATCTCCTGTTGGAGACTCCTGCAGCGGACATTCCGCTTCAAGCGAGGCGATGGTGGTGGTAATATTCTGTTGCTATCCCGCGCTAATCTAGACGGTGCCGTCCAAGAGGTACAGCGGGCCGCTGCGGGGGGAGCGACCCGGGTTGAAGCGATTTGTGCTCGAACCATCTAGTCAGCCAACCTCACCCGCGTCCAGCAGAGACACCGGAAGAGGCAAGCTTTTTAGGGGTAGAGAGGGGGGCAACAGAGCGCGCGTACTGGTGTGTGCGTGATGGTTGTGGAAGGAGAGAGAGCGAGAGCGAGCACACACCCATGCACTGCGCGGAGATGTGCGTGAATGGCATGTGGCATGTGCGGTGGGGAACTGGGACGAACCTTTCTGTTCGTACCGCAAAGATTTCACGGAGCCCCCCATATCTGGCTCTTTGAGCCGCACTGGCTGCGAATATATGGTCGTTGAGAGAGATAGACGGAGCGAGTTGGTCTGCCTTTGCTTCGGAGCCTTCAACCATTCAAATAGCTCACACACCTCTTCTGGCTCGCTCTCGCTCTCTCTCTCCTGCTCGGCTTTCGTCACCATCCCCCTCCACTGGATCCGCAAGGAGTAACGAGTGGCTCGACGACTTGCCCGATGATGAAATTCCGCAGGTAGGTGGCGGGCAAGCGTATCTCTCGCTTTTCGGCCCAAAGAAATACTGAACTGATTTTGAGAGAGACGAGTCGTTACTGGAGACAGGGAAGACAGAGGGAGAACAGCGGAGAGCGGCCTGCCGTCTGAGCTGGCTGGTTACCAGCACCGCTAGAGAAGGGTTGTAGGTTGGTGTCAGCGTGTCGGTAGTCGAAGGATGGCTTCGCTCAGCATGAACACGCTTGGTCCTCACAATTCCGGAGTATATCGCGGATCTGGGACCTGTCTGTCGTGCGCGAGAGAGAGCACATGCTGCAGGCACTCCTTTCGAAATCGATGGGTCCAAGCGCGCTCCTTGCTCTGTCGTTCGCAGCAGGAGGGAAAGCGAGCGCGGAGACTTCCAGCAGGCAGGCCAGCAGGACGTGGGGCGGCCGCCGCAGCCGGCTTCGTCCAAGAGGGTTTCGGACGCTTTCCAAGCGTCGCCGGTAAGAACACGAAAGAGAGACCGGGAGATTCGAATCACACATCATCCATACAACATGCATGCGTATTGGGTCCCCAAACAGCAGTGAGAAACGATGTGTGCATCATTTTTGGCGGATTGCTTGGCAAGCAGCCACGAGCCGACGGGCATAAGGGGAGCCGTGCACATAGCTTGGCTTGGGACGAAGCCGGGATTTTGCTCCTGGTTGTGGATGTCCGCGTTTGAGAACACCCGCCCAAAGCTCAACATTCACCCCGCTCTGTTTTTCTGTGCCATTGTTGTATGACAGGAGCCTACACCTGTGGCTGTTCCCATTCCGGCCACCAGCGCCCCGCAATCCACGGCATCTACGCCGGGAAACAAGAGCAGCGACACGACAACCATCACCACGCAGACACCGGACAATGTGATCGGAGAGACCCTCGTGGTGCAGGGCCGCGTGGAATTCCAGAACCTCTTGCGCATTGACGGCCACTTCGAAGGTGAGCAAGCTCTCCACGCTGCCTGCTGCCTCCTCACACACAACAGAAAGGATCCGAGCCGGAAGTATCACACGCCGGAATTCGACGCGTCGGAAAGGTTGTCTGTTCTGTGAAAAAAAATCTCCGACACTCGGCGTCTCGCGTTTATGCCACAGCCATTGGCCCGGGCGGCAAATCGTGAGAGGTCTATCTAAATAGCGGCAACGTTGGCTCTGCTTGACCTTCGTACACGAGCTCGATATTTGACGAACCCAGCATCACATTCATTGATCGCCCGCATGCGTGCGTTGGGAGAGGGGGTGGGCAAGGAAGAACCATTTGCCAGAAATTGAATCGGATATGTTTCCAAAGGGCCGAATAATGACACCCATTTCGGAATCGTTGTTCAAACTGCGACGGAGGTTCGTGACCATAGACAGCTGAGAGAGATTGTATGTAAACACCCCTATCCAGTCTCCAAGACATTTCGTCATGTGCTGCCCTTTGGGGATTCGGTACTCTTGCGTCACTGGGCACGGCATGCCGACCCTACCCAGTCTCTTCAGGTGCCTTTTAGTGATAATTTCGGTGAAACGGTGAAACGCCCCGTGAAGAATCTGAATACTTGTCCGGAGAGTTTGCTTGTTGTCGTTAGAGACGTTCCCACGACAATTGACCTCGATTAAATAGATAAAAAGTGTCTCAGCTTGGTGGATAACGGCTGGAGGTGCTCGGGCATGAAAATTGAAAGCTCTTTAAAGAATACTGAACCTGCCCTCGCGGTTTGTCCGGTGAGGTGCTGCAATCTCCACCGGGTAGGGCAGGGTGATGCACGTGAGCACGGTTTAAAGATGTGTCTACTTTTTTTCTCTTTTTTTGTTTCCAAAGCTTGTTGGTGGTTTTTTTCAGGCAGCGACCGAGAAAACCGTTCCGACTTTTAGGCACAACCTCCTCTTGTTGCAGTATTTATGTGCATACGCCATCCCAGGGAAAGGTAACACAGACGAAAGGCTAAAACTACTCCTATATTTTGGTACTGGATGACTGCTGTAAATGGTTGTCACATGGCCAAGTCCAGACCGACTCAGCAAAAGGGAGGAAGTAGAAGTGCTAGTGGGGGACAGACAGCCCTTGCTCTAGCTCCAGACAGAGTACCACGCAGAATGAACAAACGCAATATGTTTTCAAGACGAAACATTTGCAACACAGAGTACGAAAACCTGAAGAAACTACTTGCCTGTCTCTCTCCTTGCCTGGTCACGCAGCCCGGGAGCGCTGATTCGTATGCTAACAACAGGCCCCCTTTTTTTTTTCAATCCCCTATGCACGGGTGCGAGGGGCGCGTTAATCTGGTCTTGCTTTACTATTAGATCCCACTGCTGGAAGAGTGCAACATTTGGCCTTCGGGTTGGTTGGGAGCGTGGTAGGATGGATACTCCTTGGTTTGCCTTCCAGCAGCAAAATGTTTCATCGCGGACAGCCGCAGCACATGATTTCATTCAGACCACACCAGTATCTGATCTCCATGAGCCTGCTGTGATAACTTGCGGGCTCCACGCCGATGTTCTTCACCAACCACCCCGAGTTCATCATCAATGAATGCTTCGAATTCACATCGTAAAGAGGGTTTTTCAAACAGCCGACGGACTATTCCACCACCTCAGATCTCAGATGCCCTCGCAATGAGAGCACCAGTTGCATTTTGTCGCGAAATTGCACTGACTGCTGTACCCCCGTGTGTTTGGTGTAACCGTCGAGCGGGATAACTAACGGGCGGCGGGAGAGCGGTAGTGTCGTGTGTGTGGTGTGTGTGGTCCCGCCCGTTGGTCGGTCGTCGCCACCCTGTATCCATGAAAAACTCACTAACGTATGTACGTATGTACGTTTTGGATACCGTGTCTGTTGTTCCGAAAACTTGAAAGAATCCGTTGTGGCAGCCCCTGTCTATAGGCACGCCAACCCCGACAGACAGCAAGTGTTTTGCAGAAAATGTTCTTGGTACAACAACCAAGACAGACCTTTCGAGGTAGATTGTGGCGGATCCGATGCTCGTCAACCAAGCTGACGTGACCATACGATACTGTACACATACGCAAGCAGCATGCACGAGATTCGAAAAATCAAGAATCATTACAGACTTTGCTTGCCGGCTTCCGATCTTGCTCGATCTTAACTTTGAACGAAGTCCTGCCTGGTGTTACACAATGTTGGAAGAGATCTTGTATATGCACATCTATCGGTCAAACCACAAGATGGCCACGAAACTGTCTTGAAGAGGCTGTTAACCCACTAGGGAGAATCGCTGTGCACTGCTCGTGAAACCGTACAAACTCTGGTATTTAGTGCTCCGCTAACGATATGAACCACTGCCGCCAATCAACCCTGGACGCGTTCCGTGGATAGAGATGGATTCGCGTTGTTGAATGCATACATCACAGTATTGAACAAGATGCAGCAGTGCTGCTCGAGGACTCTTCCTATCTGGATAGAGATGAATCGATGAATCGGTCGTGTTTTCGTAAATGTCACTGCCTAGAGATAACACATCCTTTCAACTGCAGGCTGTGGTTATGCGGTTATGTGGTTATATCTCGAACAGGTAGTGCAGTCTTTCTAAGAAGCGAAAACAGAAAAAATATCGTTCCTCTGCTTCAGCAGCTCTTGGCATTGGAAACAACCCCTGAACGGCGCTGGTTTATTTTGCAGCGCAGCATCATGTGCATAAGTTAATCACTCGTGCTGGTGGTGAAGTTGAAGTTTCTCATCTACCCAAGACTGCTGTTTCTGCCACGTATGCACTTACGCCGTGAAGAAAAGTTACCTCAATTACTTGTTTGTTCGAGCGCGCCAAAAATCTGGCGCGAATCCTCAGGACTGCAGTTTGCCGTGTGTTTTTCCGCGCTTGGGGGGGTCTTTCCTCAAGAATTAAGCCGTGGTGGCGATGTATGTCGACAAGAATTAAGACATCATCCGACAGCATCGAGTAGCTTTACTTTCACGCTCCACCCCCCCCCCAGCGGCGACTGGTGCTCGTTCTATATTAGTTCCCTTCGGGTAGACGACCATGGTATTAATGCTCCTACTGTTCCAGTAAAAACCCCAGATGAAAGCGACACCGCTTGTTGGCGTCTAGTAAGTGATGTCCATCTACTACGCAGCTTGGTGGTGTCCCGCCTAACCATTGTCGATGTTCCTACAAGTAACCTTTGTCGCTTTTCCAATGTTCTTGCGGTCTAAATTTGCTGCCACCTGTTTTTTGCGCTTGAACTCGTGTGTGACTTTTAACGACACAGGGGAACTGATCGGCAATGGAAGTCTCATCATCGGCCCCACGGCTGAAGTGATTTCCAACCTGCGTGGGCTCAACGAGGTGCGTTTTGCGGTGTCTTGACCCAGCCAGATGTTGTGTTTGGATGAACGAGAGATAACAAGACCTTCTGTGCACAAGTTTAGCTTTTGGGTCAGCCGGATGTTTGTGGCCGCATGCTCTGAGGGCTTTGTTGCGTGCACTAGCTGCTGTGAATGTGTGGGTGCCGGATATTCCGCGCGATATATGTAGGCGATACCCTTGTCAACGTCGCCCAATTGGAGGCGCGATATCGTTGTTCCGCAGGCTGTTTTTTTTTTTGCGCAGTTGACCGAATAGTCTGAAGTGTTTCCCCGATACTTTTTTCTCGCACGCGGGGGCTTGGTGACCCACAGGTCTACGTGGAAGGCATCTTGATCGGTGACTGCTCCTGCAACAAGATGCAGATCCGTTTCGCCGGTTGCGTGACGGGAAACCTCATCTGCGCTTCTCTCGGCATGGACCCCTCCGTGGTGCTCAAGGTAGGCATTCGTGTGTGCGGGGACCGCGAATACGGCTTGCTGCCTTGCGATGCCCGTGACGCGGTATACAGCAGTTTGTTGTGTGACAAGAATCCGTTGGGCGCCCCAGGCAACGCGTGTTGGGTTCTTGGCAGCAGCCGGGTCGTTTCTCTAAGGCGTAGCCACCGATCTTAGGTGTTGGAGCGAGTCCGAAGCAAGTCACCTATAATGTCATGATTATTCCCTTGCCCTAAAGTAGCCATCGACCAGGCTCGTAGCTGTTCGAGCGAGTCTGAACACAAGTCACCAACTCGTTCCATGATCATTCCGTTGCCATATTGAACAGGGAAGCGCCAACATCAATCCCAGAGAGAAGGTGGAAAAGACCAAGTCCAAAAGCGCCGCTCCTCGCCACAAGCAGGGCTCTCGGTCGCAGGTGATGACTATGTAGTCCCGAGCGCGTTTGAGACTCGAAGCAAGCACGCCGGTAGGCCAATGGGAGGAGCGTATGGGGGCGGAAACATGCTCACGAGCCATGGCGTAGAGTCGCGTCTCGACAAACGCCAGCGCGCGCGCTTGTTGCACGCCGGTAGGCCAGAGGGAGCGAAATGCACGGGGGCAGGCGCATTTTCTTGAGTATCGGCGTAGATTTACGGTATTCGAGGGCATGTAGTCGTTGTTGTTGGGATTCGCAGCGTTCATTACGTGGAACACTGAATCGGACACGCGTCAAGGGTTGAGGTCCCTGTGCACACCTCGAACCGCCGTGTCAGGTATCAAGCGACGGTTGGGTGCGTGGCACCTCGTGCGCTACGGCTTTTTAGAAAATGTTCATGGAAACACGGAAAGGCTACCTGTTTTGAGATATTACCACAGTCGAAAGGGATGTGCTGAAGTCTTTTCAATGAGCAGAGGGAAACCAGCTGGAAAACTCGGCTTGTTTTGGGTTAATGCTTTTAAGGTGAATTAGCTGACCGCGATTGTTGTTTCGTGTTTCCCCGGCAGACTCGCTCGGCGGAAGACACCTCGTCGAGGGCATCGACTTCAGTACTTAGCCCGGAGTCGGTGGGATCCCGCGGCTCCACCTACGACAAGCAGAAACGACGGGCTAGCGAGAGCGGGGACTTGCGCCCCGAAGGCACTCGTCCGGAGGTTGGCGCGGCAGGAACGGGGCATGGGCGCGAACCGTCCGACTCTTCTTCTTCATCGGGAATGGGTGACGACACTCCTCTGCCCCTGCCCCTCATGTCTGCGAGCGGTGGTAAGGATAAGGCCGGGCCCAAGATGCCTGCGGGAGACGCCGTTAGTCGCTCGTCCGCGCCTAAAGCACCGGTCCAAGACGGGGCGTCCGCACCCGTCCGTAAGACGCCTGTCGTCTAGACAAGCGGGGGCACGGCAACGGTGTGGAAAAAATGTATTACGACACTTTCGGTAAAATAGGTTTGAATGTTGCACGTCTTCCCCCCCCCCCCTCCCCGCCAGGGCTTCGATAGTTTTTCGTTTGTTTTTTTATGAACCCTGTTGTGGACGGAGTGCGCGAAAAAACTACCATGTTGGGGTTGGTCATTCCGACGACGAGCTTGGCAGCAGGTTTTTACGCTTTGGGTGGGGAACAACCAGCTCCACAAAGATCACGTGCGGACTGCTCGAAATCGTGTTGGGTTGGTTTTACCGTATGGCAACCGCGAATCATTTCGGTGTATGGTTTGCTTTTAAGAGATGCGTCACTTGGTTTGGGTGACCCTACTCGGGCATGTCGCAGACCCTTCATGGTGCATGTGTCGAGTTTGTATGTGGAGCTAGCTTGCGCGCCTGAGTGGGCACAACGCACGCCTTGCTCATCGCCTGCGTCAGACAAGAGCGCGTAGTCGGATGGTGCCATGGCCGGTTAGCTTTACTTATACTTTGATCTGTAGGCTAAGCGGTACCATCGCGCACAAGGTCCATCGCAGCCTTGGTTGGTATGTACGTGAGGCCATGGTGAAAAGGAGGTGTGCATGGTGTGTTTTGTCTTCGATTTTCTCCCTCGTTTTACCTTTTAACCGTGGATTTCAAACGCGAGCACCTCCAAGTATGCATGCAATAGCAACAGTGTGTTATGTATGACGTATTTCAGGTATTCTTAGTATTTAGTGCTCTGGTAGCCCTCGTTGCGTAATAGTGCGCTGGTAGTTTTGTTGGTCGTTTGGTTCGAAGTTTTCTACTTCTATGCTATGTGATAGATGTTCTCGTCGTGTGTTGCTGGGGCGGGGAGTGCAAATGGACTTAAGGTGGAGCGATATGTTGTGCCAGTTTAATGTAGCTCCTTGTTTGCGTGTTTCTGTTTGTTGGGTGGTTATAATTGGCAAGATTTGTTTGGGGGGGGGGGGAGGCATTACGTCACCCCCGTTTATGGTTTGCTCGGAAATCACAAAAGCTCTGTTTACACAGGGGTTGATAGCCTGGAGAGTTTCCACAAGTTTGATGAGCGAAGTTAATGACATCCTACGGTTGCGCAAGGGGTATTTTTTGCCGCATTTCTCTGTTTTTGGCTGGGATCCTTTTTGCCGCGCGTTTGCGTGTTTAACTTGCGTCTGACTTGGACATTTCATGTCGCACACGAAAAAAAAATCGGAACACCTTGAGGAAGGCGGTTGAGTGATTGATGAGTTTCTCAAGAAAGAATGTATCCTAATATTTAGTACAGCGGCTTTTTTTCCTTTTCTGGCGACAGCGACAGGACTTCCAGAAACCATCTGTGCGATGTATCTTGGGCATTGTCTCGCTTGTGCTGTAGGCTGAATCAAGTTGTGAAGCTATGCTACGGCTGACAGAGTGATTGATTCTCACGATAACCGAGCCTCCCGTACTTGTGAGACGGGGGAGGGCTTGTGGACCAGGATCGGGCATAGGGGGTCTCCGAGTGTCTACAAGTAGCCCGAATGTCATGGGCAGTGCTAAACAAAGAGCTGTCATCCCTCTCGTCAATTTTCGGCCGACTTGGGACACGCTGTTGGAGGGCCTGATTTGAATCCTGTGTGACCTTCATGTTTTTCCCTGTTGATTTCCCCACTGATCAAAAACGAGGGAGGGTTCCGCAAAATTGGACTTTATCTCATGTGGTGGCGTGTACCACGAACAGAAAATTCGGCGTTTGCGAAATTTTCTGAAATGTAAGAAAAAGAGCGAAGGACGTCTGCTGATTGGATGGTGCAGACAGTTCCATCCCTGGGTGCAAGTGCAAAGCTGCCTTCCCACTTGAGCCGTCTCTTCTCTATTCCCCAATTGCAAAATTGGGGTTTCAGCTAGCGCAATCCCGAATCAATCTCTATCATAGAAAATAGCTTGCATTTCGATTAGTACTACAGTAGTAGGATATTTTTTGCTGTTTTTATTTTTGCACCACCTATATCTATCTATGTATGTATATGATGACACGCCATAATTATTTGGTTCGGATACCTATATTGCTGGGGTGTTTTTTACACTCCGCGCCACGCGTGCGTCCGTGCGTGCGCGCTTTTTCCCCGGGTCAAAAAAATCAATTGGGGAAGCAGCCGTGGGCACACGGCAATCTATAATCCCTATTTATCAAGTGTCCCCTCTTGTCCCCTTGATACGAGGGGACATTTGATAGGGAATATAGACAGCAACTGGCGGGAGCATGGTAAACGGGGCACGAAAAGGAGGTTTTCAAGATATTTCTCTAGAGAGAAAGCGAGACCTTCTAACTCAAGCCCTAGGTTGCTCGGTGCCTCCGATCAACAGTGGGCTAGGTACTTCTTCCGCGCTTGCCCCTAGTAGCGCTTTCCATCCAAGGGTAGACAGACGCGGCGCAATATCGCTGTTGAACCCGCGGCGTAATCGCCCCGCGATTCGACTTGTTGATTGCCCTCATCTCCTCCACTCTACAAAGCATCCATACTAGACTAGAGTCGTCCCTGTGTACCCTGGCACCCCCCTGGTCGAGTTGTGCAAAGGAGGAGACAATCATGTCATTCTTCGCGAGGTAAAGCAGGTGAAGAAGATGGGGACAAAAAGTGTCCCCTAAAGGCGACCCAGCCCTAAAGCAGACAAAATCGCCGGAACTACATGTACTACCGTTCGTCAAAACTCAGCCCCACGTGGCGCGGTGCTACTTCAAACGTGGGTTGCTGCTCAGCAACGCTCACACCTTCCCGACGAAGCAGTTCCAGTAGTATCCAACATGACGACGAGCATTTTGCCGTGAAATTCTAGCTTGATTGAGCAAAAAAACTCATGGCGATATAATTATGTGCATATCGCCGTTATGTGCATATTATATATCGCCGAATACGGAGCACATTCATTCACATCAAGTTTCCTTCCCACATGTGCCCCAAAACACCAAACAAATCTGACGCAGACGAAACACGATACACCGCTCGGCATGAATAACATGCAGCATGATGGTGGCCGAACTAGCACACCTGGACATACAAAACGCGATTTTTCTAACTCGTTCTTTCCTTGTTGACCAGAAACAAACAGAAAAAAACAAGCGCACACCCACAAAATACTCCAAATTATGTACGACCGACGCAATCAGCAAACGCCCTGATTCCCCACAACCTCTATACATATGAGTTAATGAAATACATCCAAGTTTCACCCTTGCTTGCGCAATAACACCACAAACCCCTAGCCCCACGACTACTGCTACCAACATACCAGCAGGGCGCCACGGCTACGGCAACAATATAGTCCAAAATATACTCTGGGAAACCGTAGACATACAGGTACTTTCTGACGCTATGAATTCATTGCTAATCTGTCTCAGACTCTTTTCTATGATAGAGATGGTTTCGTGGTGTCATATTAAGAAAAATATATATATATACTCCAGGTATTACGCGGCAGGGTTGACGCGAACATCATACAACGCTTAGAAGCGCCAAAAAAAATACCATGCATGGTACAACGCACCACATGGAGAAGGCAAAGCTCAACGGCGTTCGGCCCTTTTCAGACACCGCCTCCGCTTCCCTACTCTATCTACAGCTAGCGCCCGCACTTGAGTATTGGCCCTTCATGCTCGACTAACATAAAAAGACAAAGGATCACGAGCACCATTTAAATTTGTGAGGCCGGTTAAGAACCCCTACTACACTAAAACCTATATCATAGCAGGCATTCGAAGCCTAACCCTATAACTGAGAACCCCATCCTCGACCAAACTAGCTCCAGGTTCTCAAGTGCGGGCACTAGCTGTATTGATTAGCTATTGGTCTTTCAACATGAAGTTCGGGTCTCGGTTGTACTTGCTCTCGAAACGTAGTATCCACCTTCGAGGGGAACGAGGGCGGAAACACACAGTACAGACAGACAGAAGAAAGGGGGCCCGCAGCTAAGAAGCATTTCGCTACATTTGCAGGAAGCAGAGGTTCAAATTTTCACGAAAAACGAGAGAATGGGTTAAGAAATACAGCTCAGCGGTGGATCCAAGGCTAACCTCTGTTATATCAAGCTCTTGCTCGACAGCAGTGAGTGGCGATGAAGTATGAAATTGAGCCTCGACCCCAAACTGGTGCTTCTCAAACGCGGGCGCTACAGCAACTAACAGCTGTGCGCGACGAGTGATGATTCAATCGGAGGCAGCGGAAGCCCTTGAAAACAAAAGGTAGGGCTGGGCCATGCAACCCATCTCCGGACGATAAGCTCATCAATTCGACAATAATAATAGGTGACGTGCAAGGGGCTTTCTTTACCGCAGTACCACCCTCTCCAGCAAGTCAATGCAGACAACGATCCCTAGTAACGACATCGAAAAAATCTCCAACACCGAGCACAACAACAACGTGTTCGCTTTTGAAAATATTTGCAGTGGGTATCTACGGTCCACGGAGAAGGAACGGGTCCACTCAAGAAACTGCATTCCGACGAACCCGCAGCATGCTGGAGTTGCAATCAACTTGCACAGGTGTTTTTCTCTCGACGGTTCCTTGCTCTTCTGAGTGCACAGCAGCAGTAGTTCCTCACCTATCCAAGACGTTGGTAGGGACCACCATCAGCTCTGGACCGGCCTGGGTGCTCTGGCTGAACGATGACATGAACTGCACGACGAGCGTGGACGGACAAAACCGCACCACAAGAAAGACAGAAACGCAAACCGCTCGTTTTAGCCATCGGTTCAGGCACCACACACGGCGGAGGAGCCCCGTACGACTTTCCTGGACTCTTTCATTATCTATAAATCTGTGGATAGAGATTGATTCATGGACTCTTCGTAAGAACTAGAATAAGAAGAGCGGAGCCTCGGGGAATCGATGCGCGCGCCGAGCTGCAAGCACAAACAACCCTCACCGAGCCTTCTCTCAGGAACGAACGCACAGGCGGGAACGCACCGCAAAATGCCCCCGGTCGGAAACCCAAACAATCAAAGGTGACGGTTTAATAAAACAAATGTAACGGTACGAGACCCGACCAGTCTTGGATTTGCCATGTACAAAAGTGGTGCCCGCCAGAAATACGTTGCCCACGTACTACAGTACGTACTTGGAACAGGTCTTTGGCTATCTTGAGCGCGAAATTCTTTCGGTCCTGTACGCCTCCAGCACATAGCCCCAAGTTGGTGGCGGTGTCCTATCCGGGAAGCAGCAGAAGAAAATTAGCACGCGGTTGGGGGGTTGGCAACTCGGCGAAATTTTCGGTTTGTCGCATGATTTTCTGGGGTTTGTGTGTTACAACGTTGCGGTCCGGGGTCTGTTCATTGCGTTGGTCTGCCACTATCTGGCATTCGTCCGTTGTACGCAGTCTTTGCCGAAAACAAAAAAAAATCACAAATGAACAAACAACGGCCGAGCATATTCAATCGTAAACCCACAACCAAAACCAAATAAACACCTATCTCTTGCACAAATCTAGAACAGGAAATTATTGGTCACCTTCCCCATGGAATCAAAGCTAAAAAAAAATTACTGCTATCTAGTGCACGGCCCTTAAATAAGGCTACATGTAGATCGACGATGTGGGGTCCCCATGAAGGAAGGTAGGTTGCGTAACAAAAAAGCCGTTGGTTCTGCAAAGTGATAGAGAAATCCTGCGGGCAACAGGGTTAACAAGAAGACCGTTAGGTGGTCGTTTGACGCCCGTCCTGCCCGCGGAATCATTCGCAAGCACGCTCTATTTCGCGAGGTTCTGCACCGCCGAAGCGAACAACAACCGATCTCTCGCAACGACTGACTCCGGGTTCGGCTTGGCCCCTCCTCTGCTGCGTTCACCCCCGCTACGGCGTGGCTGCATTCATGCTGTAGGCAAAAGGCAATCACCCTGCATCCGTGTGGTAGGCAAAAGGCAATCACCAAACCCACATAGGCTGCGCCAAACTGTGGCCGAATCGTTGCCTGTTACAGTGCGGAGATCGAGGCTGGGCGTGGGTGGCATTTTTTGTTTTTCCTCGAGTGTCTAGTCTCAAGCGTCTGGTCATGAGCGTTAAGAAGATGCCTTACTTAAAATGTTTTTGGGATCCACGGTCAAAACTCATGGAGGGCCAACTGCATCGGGATTCTTGAGCAACATCACTGTAGGCTGACGACAGGCTTACCGCCGACTCGATGGAAACACCCAGCTGAACTACCCCACACGACTGCATCTGCTCGTTGGTAGGCCACCCGGTTCGAAACACGCCTGACGGCTTGCTCGCCGCTAGCGCTCCCAGCACCTCCCTGTCGTCGGGGGAGGAGGATGTTGGGGTTGGTTGGAGGGATCGGATAAATACTGGTGTTGTCGACGGCCAGGTACCACAAGTGTAAATTCGTTTGTTGTTGTTGTTTTCAAATTAAACACCGTTCCTGTCTCCGCTGAGTACGTTATAGTACAATCCGTACTGCTGTCCAACTGACGCAGACACCTCCCGTGGTCACGAGTCAACTACCCGAAGGGGGGAACACCTTTCTAGAACGAAAAAAAAAAACACTACAAACAGAACCAGATAATCGTCTAAACGCGGTAACAGCATGGCACAGCGAGGGGGGTCGACCACCCGGGGTCGAAGGCATGGATGGTTGGGCGCAACCAACGGTGGGCTACTTACCAAATGCTCGAAGATACTTCACCAATGCCGAGGGCTCCAGTGGTAGAGGTAGGCACGCTGAAAACCGCAGCTTACTTACCAATGCTCAAAGGCTCTAATGAGAGAGGCGGGCACGCTGAGAACGGTACGTTACTTACCAATGCTCGAAGGCTCCAGTGGTAGCGGTAGGCACGCTGAAGTAGAGCACGGCGGTTTGCCCCGGCGGGACGGGAGAGGTTGGCAGCAGGAAGAACACCAACTCGTCTACCTGGGGAAGAGAGCACGTAAGGCGTCGTGGCATTGCAAGTAGTCAACACCTAGCGAGGGGCTAGAGTTGAAAAGGTGTCAGCGTGTACCCCGAAGGACGACTCTCTCTCTCCCTGTCTCTCTCTCCCCTTGTCTTCTCTCTGTCTCTCTCTCTCTCTCGCCCTTTACCCTATCTTCTCTCTGTCTCTCTCTCTTCCCTCTGTCTCTTTTCCTCCCTTTCTCTTCTGTCTGTCTGTCTGTCTGTCTGTCTGTCCCTCTCTCTCTCCGCGCACAGTTTCCTAATCCGTGCGATCCCGCAGTTAAGAACACAGGACCAATTCAACTCGCTTGCTGTTTGCAGATTTGCTAAATAGACAGCAGAAACTGTCGCTCGCGAGCAGATAGGTGTCGCGGGTTCGTTTAGCGGAAACGTGCCTCGACGCAACGGACACCTGTGTCAGACAGGGCTAAGACTCCTTACCTCTCGGGGGGTGACTATTTCAGTCACGCACTTGGATGAATCTATCGCCCTGCCAACGAGACAAAAACAGAGGAAGGCGTTTGGGTTGGTGACGATGAGCATGTCGGGGGTGCTGGA